TAATTTAATATTTATATTCTAGCTGATCCAGGCAGGGAACACATCTATTTCTTTTTCTTTTTTTTCTTTTTTTTGAGACAGAGTCTTGCTCTGTCACCCAGGCTGGAGTACAGTGGCACAATCTCAGCTTACTGCAGCCTCCGCATCCTGGGTTCCAGCAATTCTCCTGCCTCAGCCTCCCAAGTAGCTGGGATTACAGGAGCACACAACCACACCCGGCTAATTTTTGTATTTTTAGTAGACAGGGTTTCACCATATTGACCAGGCTGGTCTTGAACTCCTGACCTCAGGTGAACCACCCACCTCAACCTCCCAAAGTGCTGGGATTACAGGCATCGGCCACCACACCTGGCCAGAACGTGTCTATTTTGTTCACCATTTTATCCCTGGTAGGTGCTCAAAAACTGTCTGTTGACTAACTGATTATTCAATCAGTTACAGCATGCTTGAAAAGAAATACATAAGGGGGCCAGGCACGGTGGCTCACGCCTGTAAGCCCAGCACTTTGGGAGGCCAAGACAGGTGAATCATCTTAAGTACGGAGTTCAAGACCAGCCTGACCAACATGGTGAAACCCTGTCTCTACTAAAAAATTCAAAATTAGCCACGCATAGTGGTACATGCCTATAATCCCAGCGACTCAGGAGACTGAGGCAGGAGAATTGCTTGAACCTGAGAGGTGAAGGCTGTGGTGAGTCAAGGTGATACCATCGTACTCCAGCCTGGACAAGAGTGAAACTCCATCTCAAAACAACAACAACAACAAAAAGAAATACACAAGGTATAGAAAGGAAAATGGCATAAAAATCTGAACTCACCAAAACAAACTGCACCAAACTTGCTGTTCCTAAAACCTCCCACAGTATAGTTATTTTCTGAAATATACCTACATTTTTAGGTTAGTCTAAAATGTCAGAATTCTGATGATCTTCAAATATCAGCCATAATGGATATGAACTCAATTATGGCAAAATAATGCAGAGCAAAAACACCACAGAGTATTCCCAGAGCATGTCTCCCGCAAATATTTTTTTCGCTAAGATGACTAGAAGTTATTACATAGTATTTATTACTCAGCTTTCCAAACCACTTACTGAAAAAGCTTACAAATGTTTTGGAAATGTTTTTGCTGAATGCACCCCTGCTATTCAGACAATATGCATGACCAAGGAGATTTAAGTAGCTAATTAACATGCAATCTATGAAATCATTATATTCAGAAGAGTTGTGCACTTTCTAATCACAAGTAACTGTGAGGGATAAAATAATATTGCTATATTCATACAGCGTTTACTGTGGATCAGCCACAGTTCTAAGTTTTCTAGGAATTAACTAACCAAATGTTAACAGTTCTGGGAAGTTATTCCCATTTTATAGAGAAGAAACTGAGGCACAAAGACCTGAAGACCTTGTCGAAAATCACAGTGCTTATAAGTGGCAGAGCCAAGATGCAAATCTAGGTGCTCTGGCTTCAGTCATATACTATACTCTTCTCTAAATAACAAGAAAAGTTACATTAGAATAATAATAAAAAGGATGCAGCCATAAAAAAGGAGGAGTTCGTGTCCTTTGCAGGGACATGGATGAAGCTGGAAACCATCATTCTCAGCAAACGAACCCAAGAACAAAAAACCAAACACTGCCTGTTCTCATTCCTAAGTAGGAGTTGAACAATGAGTACACATAGACAGAGGGAGGGGAACATTACACACTGGGGCCTGTCAGGGGGTGGGGGGCCAGAGGAGGGATAGCATTAGGAGAAATAACTAATGTAGATGATGGGTTGATGGGTGCAGCAAACCACCATGGTAGGTGTATACCTATGTAAGAAACCTGCATGTTCTGCACGTGTACCCCAGAACTTAAAGTATAATAATAGGGCCGGGCGCATTGGCTCACGCCTGTAATCCCAGCACTTTGGGAGGCCGAGGCAGGTGGATCACGAGGTCAAGAGATTGAGACCATCCTGGTCAACATGGTGAAACCCCGTCTCTACTAAAAATACAAAAAATTAGCTGGACACGGTGGCGCGTGCCTGTAATCCCAGCTACTCAGGAAGCTGAGGCAGGAGAATTGCCTGAACCCAGGAGGTGGAAGTTGCAGTGAGCCGAGATCGCGCCATTGCACTCCAGCCTGGGTAACAAGAGCGAAACTCCGTCTCAAAAAAAAAGTAAAATAATAATAGTAATAATGAATTAGAACAGAATCTACATAAAAATACTGAAATGAAAGAGGAAGAAAGGAATTAGTACAGGCAAGGGGAAGGGTGAAGCATGGCCGATGAAGACCATACAACAGTAAAAATTCCCTCACAGAACTGACAAAGACCATTAACGAAGATCCTCCCAGTCCCACTCACCCCCAAATGGCTCTGTAAAACAAGAGCTAGGGGCAGAGACTAAAGGGAAATCTCAAAGGAAAACAGCAAAATTTTTAAAATAAAATAAAATTGTAATAGCACTCAGAATAAAAATGAATAAGACCATCACAAAATCGAAAGTCTTCAATAGACGAGAAGAAAGTGGACACTGCTGAAAATACAGTAAGAGCCATGAAAGCCAGGAATGGTTTAAAAAAATGAGCAAGAGAATGAAAAAAGAGTAAAATGTTTAAAAGATTTCCAAAACAGCCCAGTGGCTCATTCCTGTAATCGCACTTCAGGAGGCCAATGTAGGAGAGTTGCTTGAGCCCAAGAGTTTAACACCAGCCTGGGCAACATGGTCAAACCTGTCTCTACAAAACAAATCTTTAAAAATCAGCCAGGTGTGGTGGCACATGCTTGTAGTCCCAGCTACTCAGGAGGCTGAGGTTGGGAGGACAGTTTTAGCCCAAGAGTTCAAGGAGTGCCAGGATAGTACCACTGTACTCCAGCCTGAATGACAGAGCAAGATCCTGTCTCAAAAATAAGTAAATAAAATATATAATAAAAATTAAAAGATTTTCAAAACAAACCCAAAAAAATCAAACAAAAACATGTAGCAATGGAAATCAAAGGATAACTGGTGTCTGAAAGAGGGAACCAAGCAAATGAAACAGAATAAGATGCAAAAATATAGAGAACTGGACTGAGGGCAAGTTGGCAAAAAGATACAGCTTCCAGCTTCTTCAAACCACAATAGCCAGGGTGGCAAGGATAACCTGAAGATCTCAAAAGAAAATAAAAAAGGGACAGGTATGCTGAGATCCCAATTATTCACCATGCCAGTCATAGACTTATTTGCCTCTCGACTCCAAATTCATCCTTTTTGACCACCCTGCAAAGTTGATCTGGGTCCTTGAAATATTTTTCTTTTGCCAGCTGAAGTCAAGCATTGTCAGTAGCGGGTGCTAGTGAAACACTGCGGAAAGAAAACGGGTTGGCTAACAGCTCCCAGTGTTCTCTGCTCAATAGGCCCCAGCAGCATCCATGGCTTTCCAGGGTCCCACAGTCAGCAACCTTCCCCAGGACCCTTCTTGGGCCGTTTTGCAGTAGAGTGCCTCTGCTGAGACAACTACCTGTAAACAGTTTTCCTTAGCACCCTAGAGGGCAGATTTCTGGCAAGTTCTGCCATGCAGCATCAATCACTTCCTTGCCATCCAGTGAGCCACTATACCAAGTCTGGATCTCAGCCTGGGATGGGGTGGAGGTGGCAGTATGGTGTTAGAGGAGAAGGACGGTTCCTTGTCCGATGCTCTATCTCAGCCCTGGAGTGGTGGCTGCTCCTTATATCTGCTATTTCTATCTTTGGAGCTCTCTCAACTTCTTTTTCACAGCTTTTTGAGCTATCCTTCACATACCATACAATTCACCCGAAGTGTGTAATTCAGTGGCTTTTAGTATATTCAGAGTTCACAAAGTTGTATGAATATCACAATTTTATAACTTTCTCATTACCCTAAAAAAGGTACCCTGTACATCTTAGCTGTCATCACCTACTCCCCACAATCTCCTATTCCCCCAACCCTAAACTACATTCTTTCTCTATGGATTTGCCTATTTTGGATTTTTTTTTTTTTTTTTTTTTTTTTAGATGGAGTTTCGCTCTTGCTACCCAGGCTGGAGTGCAATGGCTCCATCTCGGCTCACCGCAACCTCCGCCTCCTGGGTTCAGGCAATTGTCCCGCCTCAGCCTCCTAAGTAGCTGGGATTACAGGCACACGCCACCGTGCCCAGCTAATTTTTATATTTTTAGTAGAGATGGGGTTTCACCCTGTTGACCAGGATGGTCTTGATCTCTTGACCTCGTGATCCACCCACCTCGGCCTCCCAAAGTGCTTGGATTACAGGCTTGAGCCACCATGCCCGAACTTGGATATTTCAAAATGAAATCATATGGTTCTTTTTGACTGGCTTCCTTCAATTAGCATAATGCTTTTTTTTTTCAGATAGGCACAGAACCAATGCATAACATAAGGGTTTCAAGGTTCAAGCATATTGTAGTGTGTATGAGTACTTTTTTTTTTTAAAGAGACAGGATCTTGCTCTGTCGCACAGGCTAGAATGCCGTGGTGCTATCATGGCTCACTGCAGCCTCCAGCTACTGGGCTCAAGTGATCCTCCCACCTCAGCCTCCCAAGTAGATGAAACTACAGGGATACACTACCACAGGTCTCACTATGGTTCCCAGGCTGATCTTGAACTCCTGGCCTCAAGCCAGGATTCTCCTGCTTCAGCCTCCCAAAGTGCTAAGATTACAGGCATGAGCCACTGTGCCTGGCCCAGCATTTCACTGCTTTTTATTGATGAATATTATTTCATCCTAGGAATATACCATATTTTATTTATCTATTTATCAACTGGCAAGACATTTGGGTTGTTTCTACTTTTTGGCTTAATATGAACATTCATGTACTCTTGGGCATATACCTAAGAGTGGAAGTAGGTATGTAACTAGAGCTGTGGTTTGAATGTGTCCCCCAAAAAAGCATATGTTGGAAACTTAATCCGCAGTACAATAGTGCTGGGAGATGCAGCCTAATGAGAGGTATTTAGGTCATGAGGGCTCCACCCTCATGAACAGATTAATGCCAATTACAAAAGGGCTTGAAGCTCTGAGTTCAATCTCTTTCTCTCCCTCACTCCCTCGGACTCTCTTGTCCTTCCAGGTCCAGCCATGGGATGATGCAGCAAGGAGGCCCTCACCAGATGCCAGCCCCTTGATCTTGGACTACCCAGCCTCCAAAACTGTAAGAAACAAATCTCTGTTTTTTATAAATTACCCAGTCTTAGTTATTGTTATAGTAACACGAAATGGACTAGGACACCTAAAATGAAATCTACCTGGGTCATATGGTAATTTTATGTTTAACTGTTTGAAGAAATGACAGTGTGTTTACCAAAGTGGCTAACATTTTACATTCCCACCAGCAGTGAATGAGCATTCCAATTTCCCCACATTGCCAGCTCTAACACTTGTTCTTTTTTTCTTTAAGAGACAGGGTCTCACTGTGGCCCAGGCTAGAGTGCAGTGGCATGACCTCAGCTCACTGCAACTGCAATCTCCTGGGTTCCAGTGATCTTCCTACCTCAGCTTCCTGAGTAGCTGGGACTACATGCCCAGCTAATTATTCTTTTTTTTTTTTTCCGTAAAGATGAGGAGGTTTCACTGTGTTGCACAGGATGGTCTTGAACTCCTGGGCTCAAGTAATCCTCCCACCTCAAATCTCAAAGTGGAGGGATTACAAGTGTAAACCACTGCTTTTTTTGAGACAGAGTCTTGCTCTGTCGCCCAGGCTGGAACACAGTGGTGTAATCTCCGCTCACTACAACCTCCACCTCTCAGTTTCAAGTGATTCTCCTCCCTCACCCTCCAGAATAGCTGGGATTACAGGTGTATGCCACCACACCTGGCTAATTTTGTATTTTCAGTAGAGACTGAAACATGGGGTTTCGCCATGTTGGCCAGGCTGGTCTCAAACTCCTAACCTCAAGCGATATGCCAACCTCAGCCTCCCAGGCCACCGCTTATTCTTATCTGCTCTTTTGATTCCAGACACTGTAGAGTGTGAGGTAGCATCTCATGGTAATTTTGATCTGCGTTCCCCTGAAGGCTGATTATGTTAACCATCTTTCTATGTGCTTATTTCTTTACTTATTAGCCAATCTCGAATTATTCCAATTCTCTATAATAGTTAAATAATTCTTACATTAAACTTTATGTATTCAAATTACCATGTGATTTCTCTCTTTTAATTGGATCCAGAGTCCTGAAACATGAGTAGTCAGTGATTTCTCAGTGGAAATCAGATGATCTACAATAGTTTTAAAAATAGAGAACAGAAGAGTAAAGCTGAAAACTCCTTTGTTGCTGGCCAGGTACTCACTTTAGAAGTAGGTAAGAGGCCTGGTGCAGTGGCTTATACCTATAATCCCAACACTTTGGGAGGCCGAGGCAGGCAGATCACCTGATGTCAGGGGTTTGAGACCAGCCTGGCCCAAGATGATGAAACCTTGTCTCTACTAAATATACAAAAATCAGCCAGGCATGGTAGCAGGCCCCTGTAATCCTAGCTATTTGGGAGACTGAGGCAGGATAATCATGTGAACCTGGGAAGTGAAGGTTGCAGTGAGCAGAGATCACCCCACTGCACTCTAGCCTAGGTGTTTGAGGTAGAGATTGCAGTGAGTCAAGATTGCACCACTGCACTCCAGCCTGGGCGACAAAGTGAGATTCCATCTTTTAAAAAAAAAAAAAAAAAAAGGGGGCCGGGCTCAGTGGTTCATGCCTGTAATCCCAGCACTTTGGGAGGCCAAGGCAGGCAGATCACAAGGTCAGGAGTTCCAGACCAGCCTGACCAACATGGTGAAACCCTGTCCCTACTAAAAATACAAAAAAAAATTTAGCCAGGTAGGGTGACAGGCACCTGTAATCCCAGCTACTCAGGAGGCTGAGGCAGGAGAATCATTTGACCCTGGGAGGCGGAGATTGCAGTGAGCCGAGATCACACCACTGCACTCTAGCCTGGGCAACAGAGCGAGACTCCATCTCAAAAAAAAGATGTAGCAAAAGCATAAAAACATGTATGGTAACTTTAAAAACCTTTAACTCAAACAGTGGCTTTTTTCTGTTGAAGGAAGAAGAAGGGAAAAACACATTAGGAAGCCTTTCGTAAAAATGTAATATTCTTTCTTTAAAAAAATCAAAAACTCAAGTAGGATGGCATATTAAGATTTAATGATAGCTATAATTATTTGTTCTGTTCTTGTATGTGCAAAACACATCATTAGAAAATATAGGCCAGGCATGGTGGCTTATGCCTGTAATCCCAACACTTTGGGAGGCCAAGGTGGACATATCACTTGAGTTCAGGAGTTTGAGACCAACCTGGGCAACATGGCAAAATCCCATCTCTACAAAAAATACAAAAGAAAAAAAAAATTAGCAGGGCATGGTGCTGTGTGCCTTACAGTCCCAGCTACTCAGGAGGCTGAGGTGGGAGAATCATTTGAGCTCAGGTCAAGGCTGCAGTAACCATAATTGCACCACTGCACTCCAGCCTAAGCAGCAGAGCAAGGCCTCATCTCAAAAAAAAAAAAAAAAAAAAAAGAAAATATAAATGTCCCTTTTCCTTGTGATTATGGCCTATGCAGTAGTTTCATATTATTTATTTGCTCCTATTTTTTTTTTAAGAAAAGAAAGACATATTTTAGAAAAACTATGCTGGACTATTGCAAAGTAACTCTGCTGGAATTATGCTAGCAGCTATGCCATCTTATCAGTCCCAGCAAAAGCCATTATTACACACCTGAGTAAAGCAGTGGACATAGAGGGAGTGACGCCTGCCCTAAAGGAGCAAGGTGATATGTGCAGTTACAGTATAAACAAGGAACAGATGTTATGAGATTATGGCAATTAATAACTGTCTGGGAGGCTCAGGTAAAGCCTCAGAGGCATTGCCTGAATTAAACTGACTGGGAAGCTGAAGCAGAAGAGCAGGAGAGGCATTATAAGCCATGCTAAGGAGTGATATTTATCCCACTGGCAATGGGGAAGCACGTACGTAGAGAAACGACATAAATCCATGTTTGAGAAAGACTGCTCGTGTGGCAATATGGAGACAGACTGGAGAAGGCTAAGCACAGAGCAAGAAGAGGGCATTATAACAGTCCAGGCCATTAGCCCTCAAAGAGGGGATGTACCTCTTTGAGGTACATCAAAGTGATTCAGCAGGGAATTGGAAGAAAAATACCATGACTCCTATTTATAAACTTCACTGGTATTTAATTTCATGGACACGGGCCTCCTCATGCAGTCCCTAAGTCAGATGTCTATGGCCCATGAGGTTCAGTAAGACTCCTCAGGAAGTGTGAGAATTCCACAGTGTGGAACAAACATGTGGTGCCGCTACTCGCTCATTCACATTCTAATGTAGTACGTACGGTTCATGCAGTGCAGATGACATCAATGTGGTTAGTTTCATAAAAATTGGATCTTAAAAAGATTTTTTTGTGGAACACTTCATGAATTTGTGTGTCATCCTAATCTTCTCTGTATCGTTCCAATTTTAGTGTCTGTGCTGCCAAAGCAAGCCCGTAATAGGATCTTTTAAATAGGATCATGACTAAACTTGACGATGAGACAGCAAGAAACTCTGAAACCTGCACCACGAAGTTCTCCAGTTGTCATCTGGCCAAGTACTTACAAGATTTCTAGATCTTAAAGAGCAGTAATATATTTTTCTTCTACAAAAATGCTGTTGTTCTCAGTTTGCTGACCTTTCCTCGGATGGCAAATGTCAGCAGTATGGCACCTAGAAGATACTCCAAAAATACACACAACTGCCCTTCCAAGATAAACATCTATTTTGGTTGGTGCAAAAGTAACCAACTATGTTGAGTACATTTTGAAAATAAACATTTTTAATGTTTCCATCCTTACGTTGTTAACAAAAGGATGTAAAAGTCACATAAAACTCTTATCTACATACCAGCAGTTCTCCAAGTGTAGTCCAAGAAGCCTCAAGGGTCCCTAAGACTCTTTCAGGGGGTCCACGAGTTTAGAAGTATTTTCACAATAATTCTAAGGCATTATTTGCCTTGTTTACTCTTGTTCTCTTGTGAAGGTCCAGCATTTTTCTAAAGGCTACATAACATGATGAGGTGACCAGGATAGTTCTCACAGATAATAGTATGCGTGCTTGTGGGTCCTTGTGATTTTCGAGATGCAATCTCACTGTCACCCATGCTGAAGTGCAGTGGCATGATCACAGCTTAGTGCAGCCTCAACCTCCTAGGCTCAAGCAATCCTGCTATCAGTCTCCCTAGTAGCTGGGACTACAGGGATGTGCCACTATGCGTGGCTAATTTTTTGATTTTTTGAAGAGATGTGGTCTCACTATGTTGCCAGGCTGAACTTTTCCTTTTTTGAGACAAGGTCTCACTTTGTCCCCCAGGCTGGAGTGTAGTGGCATGATCTCGGCTCACTGCAACTTCTGCCTCCCAGGCTCAGGCAATCATCCTCCCACCTCAGTCTCCCAAGTAGCTGGTACCAGAGGCATATGCTACCATGCCTGGCTAATTTTTTTGTATTTTTGGTAGAGATGGGGTTTCACTATGTTGCCCAGGTTGGTCTCAAACTCCTGAATTCAAGTGATCCACCCACCTCAGCCGCCTGAAGTACTGGGATTACAGGTGTGAGCCACCATGCCCAGCCATGAACATATTTTATTTTTTTGTACTCAGTGATTTTTTTTTTTGAGACAGCATCTTGCTCTGTCGCCAGACACCAGGCTGGAGTACAGTGGTACAATCTCGGCTCACTGCAATCTTTGCTTCCTGGGTTCAAGCAATTCTCCTGCCTCAGCCTCCCGAGCAGCTGGGACTGCAGGCGCATGCCCCCACATCCAGCTAATTTGTGTATTTTTTAGTAGAGACGGGGTTTCACCATGTTGTCCAGGATGGTCTTGATCTCTTGACCTTGTGATCCACCCACCTTGGCTTCCCAAAGTGCTGGGATTACAGGCGTGAGCCATTGCACCTGGCCAGTGATTTCTAAAATATTAAATATCAACAAACAATACTTACAAAGATGAAAGTTATTTCAATACTCAATTTTTAAACTTTGAGGGAATTCTGAGACCAAAAAGTCTGAGAACCTCTGCTATATACTTTAAATCCTCAGAAACAGAATTTCCTGACTTGTTTAACATATTCCAAACAAAAAGTTTCAGTGAATTTTAAAGCTGTGTCAAAAATACATAAACATGACACCTTTCAATTACTTTGCAAGAAAAACTGACAAGGAAGAAGAAATTTATGGTATATAGACAAATAATGGGCCAAGGCAGTTGATGACATTTAATCAGAGTAACAAATTAAGTGCTCCAGGAGTTCATAGAGGAACTCATGTCAAGCCATGATGACCAGATAAAGAACCTAATGCAGAGTAAATAGGCATTAAACTTCAAATATCATCTTTTAAAAAATCATCAGAAGAAGCCGGGTGCGGTGGCTCACACCTGTAATCCCAGCACTTTGGGAGGCAAAAGCGGGTAGATCACCTGAGGTCAGGAGTTTGAGACCAGCCTGACCAATATGGTGAAACCCCATCTTTTATTTAAAAAAAAAAAAATTATCAAAAGATGACTGAGGAGGACCAAAATTTCAGGGGGAAAAATCAAGGACAGGCTGAGGAGCAGTGTGTATGTCTCAGCAATTCCATGCAGTGATTATATTACGGTCACATCAGTGGCAAGCAAATGGGTGTACATACTTGTGTCAGTCTGAGCAACAGTTGGAAATAGCTAAATGCCATATAAACTGTTGGCATTTAAACAATGTTTAAATTTGTATGTTTTTTGTTTTGTTTTGTTTTGTTTTGTTTTGTTTTGTTTGAGACAGAGTTTCACTCGTCACCCACGTTGGAGAGCAATGGTGTGATCTAGGCTCAATGCAACTTCCGCCTTCCAGGTTCAGGCAATTCTTCTGCCTCAGCCTCCCAAGTAGCTGGGATTACAGGCTCCCGCCACCACGACTGGCTAATTTTTGTATTTTTAATAGAGATGGGGTTTCACCATGTTGGCCAGGCTGGTCTCAAACTCCTGACCTTAGGTGATCCTCCCGGTTGGCCTCCCAAAGTGCTGGTATGACAGGTGTGAGCCACCATGCCCGGCCTGTATGGTATTCTTATCAACTCTCTCTTCTTGATCTCAGAGTAATTCCCTTACACCAGCCCAGCATCATCAATCACTTAAAATGCATATCCTTGTTAGTATAAAGGTGAGAAAAAGAATAAAATAAATGCATAAATTAAAACCATGACGTGGCCAGGTGTGGTGGATCACGCATGTAATCCCAGCACTTTGGGAGGCAGAGGCAGGCAGACTGCTTAAGCCCAAGGGCTTGAGACCCAGCCCAGGCAATATGGTGAAATCTCACCTCTAAAAAAATTAGCTGGGTATGGCAGTGTGTGCCTGCAGTCCCAGCTGCTCAGGAGGCTGAGGTGGGAGGATCACCTGAGCCTGGAAGGTTGAGTCATGATCATAGCATGCCAATGCACTCCAGCCTGGGTGACAGAGTGAGACACTATCTCAAAAAAACAAAAAAAAAACAAACAAACAAAAAACGCACAATGTTGGCATCTTTAAGGCTAATGATCACCTACCATGAACCAAGTAATACATTAAACATTAGAAATATTACAACTGTTGCTTGTAACTGGAGTATAAATAAGGGAAAAAAAGAAATATTACAACTAGTGTTATTACTAAACTATTATTTTTATATATCTACTAATAGCACAAGACCAGGCTTTTTACATCTACTCCCTCCAATCGTCGGAGCAACCTTGCAAGGTAGGAATTTTTATCCTCATATTCGAAATTTGAAAACCAAGAAGACAGGAGATTCTGAAGCCTATCCACGGTGATACAATAGAAACAGGTGAGGCTATGACTGAAATCCTAGTCTGCGTTCATCTAGCCCTAGAAAGCACAAGGCATGCCCCTCATATTTTGCAGCAGTAACTATCCTCTGTCCAGTCTCACCTCCTCATTCCAACCTCTCAACTTGCATAAATATTTTATAACTCTTGTGTAGTAGGCATGGTACAATGCAAATCTCAGAACTTCCCATGTCGGGGAAATAGGATATCCACTACTCTGCCTCTTCCACACAGTGATGTTCCTGAAAGGCGAAGCTGATAAAGTCACTTTCTATCTTTAAATCCTTCAGTGGCACCTAATCACATTCAGGATAAAGCTGTAACTCCAGAACTCACAAAAAACTTCACAATCTATTCTTGACTGGTTTCTTCAGCCTCATTTCCCATACACTCCACAAAAAGACTGTACTCCTGCCACACCAGTGTCTTCAGGATGTAACCATATTCTTTGCTTCCAGGCCACAGCACACATTGTTGCCTGTGCGAAAAGCCTTTTAAACCCACATCCACCCAGCTAATAACTACTGATTCTTCAAGATGTAGGTTAGATGCAAACTTCTACTCATATTCCCTCTGATATCAGGTGCCCTTTTAGAAGATCCTACAAGACCCTCAATTACAGCCCTTATTATAATGTATTCTAACTGCTGTTTACTTGCTTGAGGCCAGGCACGTGTCCTTCATACCTATGAAGCCACCACCCAGCACAGAGACTGGCAGAGCTCATGTTCAGTACAATTTGTGGAATGATGAGAACACCTGATCTAGTAGGAGAGACAGAAATGTATACAATCACATAAAATATGAAAAATGTGAAATAAGATATAGTAGGGATGCTGTCCAAGGGAGAAAAAAGGTGGGAAAATCCGGGGGAACCCTTCTACCTGTATGAATATCTGAGGGCTCCTTACCTGATTTCTCAAAAGTTTTTCTAACCTTGCTGTAGCTGATTAGAAGCACTCTGATCATGAGTGCTTACTTTGAACCATGTGCTCTGCAAAGCACATTAGAAGAACTGACTTAATTCTCACAACTGCCCCATGCATTTCACTGATGAGGAAATTTAGGCTCAAAAATAAGATTTTTTCTTAATGTCAGACAACTATTAATAGTGTAACAGCCAAGATCTGAACCCAAATCTGTCTCCTGAACCAGGGCTCCAACCAGCACTGTTTCTACTGCCTGTCAAAAGTAAAACCTCCTCCCCAAATACCAAGTTTGCTAGGTTCAATTAAACCAGTATGGTTGAACTAAGATTATTATGTTTCTGAGACAGTCTTGCTCTGTCTCCCAGGCTGGAGTGCAGTAGTGCAATCTCAGCTCCCTGCAACCTCTGCCTCCCAGATTCAAGTAATTCTCTTGTCTCAGCCTCCCAAGTAGTTGGGACTACAGGTGCATGCCACCATGCCTGGCTAATTTTTTTTAATTTTTTAGTAGAGACAGAGTTTCACCATGTTACCCACGCTGGTTGTGAACTCCTGAGCTCAGGCAATCTGCCTACCTCAGACTCCAAAGTGCTGAGATTATAGGCGTGAGCCACCAAGCCCAGCCAATTATTTTTTAATTTTAACCATTTGAGTGAAAATGCATCTAAAATTATTACACACTTCCCGATTTCTTATAAATTGAATATGTTGAATATAATTTAACTTTTATTTTTTGCTATCTCAGAACCATTCCTGTGTTTGTTACTAAGAATGCTGTAACATACTAAGTTTTATAAAAGTCACTCCTCAGCAATGACTGTGTTACTACTGGGATGTAATAGATTGCCCTTGTATCAACAGCCTTGGCCTGTGAGAATTTACAAGTGCTTTTAAGAGTTTTGACTCCGAATCCACCATTACCCCATGCCTAGTTAGAGCTACTATTCCTTGCTACTGTTGATATGTTTGTCTCTAGCAGTCCATCTGATGTGCTACCTTTAATCTTCAATGGGCTGTGACACCATAGATGAGGTAGTAGTCATTAGTGCTATTCACCAAATATTTCTGGCTCTTTGCTTCCCAGCATATGCTAACACTGAAATTCTCTAACCTTCTTTAAAGTTAGGCATGGGTATGTGGCTTGCTTTGACCAATGAAAATGTGAATGAAAGTGACATGTGCCACAGGGACAGAAACTTAAAAAGCCAGTGTCCACCTGACCACTTTCTTTTCATTTAATCAAAATGGTCATGGCAGTACCATGTTAAGATGGAGTTTCTATCAGCCGCAGTTCCTGAGTCACTGTGAAGAGTTTCCTCTACACTCACGCTGGACACGTCACACAAATGAGAAGTCAAGTTTGTTTTGTTAAGCCACTGAGGTCTTGAGGTTTCGGTTAATGTAGCCTAATCCAAGCTATCCATACCAATACAACAGATCTCTCAGTGAGGGATTCTCTCACATAAACAACTTTATTTATAGATTTTAATGATAAACATTTTGTTTGCATAAAGAATTCTCTTTGCATCCATCCTGGTTCAAAGCTATTTTCAATATAAAATATATTTGCCAAGTACCTAGTATGTACAAAGTTGGATGATGAAGAGGACAATCTATGTCTTGAAATAGCTTCAATCTTATATTGTGTGTAGAAGCAGGATTTAAGGCAATTATTGCAAAAAGGTAGACTCTAATGTTATGGTGGTTTAAACTTTAAACTTAGAGAAGAGAGACATCTCATTTAGATGGAGAGAAAAATACAGACAAGCGTCACAAAGGACCTTCCGTATCAAATGGCCCTGAAACTTACATAAGAACAAGTAGAGTCAAGGAGGTTATTTAAGATAGAAAAAGCCAACATGAGCAAAGATAGGGAGCACAAACAGCAAATAGTTCCATTAACCTAGAAATTATAAGAGAATGGCAAGAAATTAGTTTGTTTTGTCCATATTGCCCATGCCAGGCTGGTCTGTGCCTAACCAACAGACAACCGGGAGCCATTCAAAGTCCTGGCTGGAGAAATTACAAACTTAGAAGTGAAGGCAGTATACATGATAGTTGGGAGGAAGGAAAAAAATGTTAGGGGGTTTCTGTGGTAATTCACAAGAATGGTCCAATAGCCCCAAATCAGTGTGATGACAGTAGGAGTGAAAAGAGGCAGATGCCAAGCCACGTGGCTCACACCTGTAATCCAAGCACTTCGGGCCAAGGTGGGCAGATCACTTGAAATCAGGAGTTCACGATCAGCCTGGCCAACATGGTGAAAACCTGTCTCCACTAAAAATACAAAAATTAGCTGGGTGTTTTGACATGCTCCTGCAGTCCCAGCTATTCGGGAGGCTGAGGCAGGAGAACCACTTCAACCTGGGAGGTGGAGGTTGCAGTGAGCTGAGATGGGGTCACTGAGCTCCAGCCTGGGCCAACAGAGAGAGGCTCTGTCTCAAAAAAAAAGCAGCAGATGCCAGAAACAGTGTGGAAGTAGGGTCAACAAGACCTGGCACCCAACAAAAACACAGGGGAGAAAAAAAAAAAAAAGCAAGAATAAATTTGAGGTGCAGCTTCTGGGTTGAGAAAACTGTTATTCCAAGTAGCTGAGGTGAATCAGAAAAGTGACAATGGGTTAGGTGTGGTGGCTCATGTCTATATTCCCAGTATTTTTGGAGGCTGAGGTGAGAGGACTTCTTGAGCCCAGGAGTTTGAGATAAGCCTGGACAACATGGCAAGACCCTGTATCTGCAAAATTTTTTTTTAATTGGCCAGGTCACCTGCCTGTGGTCTTAGCTACTTGGGAAGTTGAGGCGGGAGGATCCTGAGCTCAGGAAGTCGAAGCTACAGTGAGCCATGTTCACACCACTGCACTCCAGCCTGGGTGACAGAGGGAGACCCTGTCTCAAGAAAAAAGAACAAGAAAAGTGACAATGTCAAGTAAAGTGTTACTGTATTTCTGTAGTTAGCTCCAACTTCCTTTGAAGTAAATTCTGCTACTTGTTTACTCTTTGCACTATACAGGAAAAAGATACCTCTTGGATTAATGCCATCAACCTACCTTCTATGCAACTTCATATCCTGCCTTTTATGCTAAGAAACCCCCTGGAACCACCCATGAGCATCTCAGTTCCCCTGCACCTTGACCATGCTCACTTTCTCATCTGCTCACTTCTTCTTCATCCAGCCAGGCCTACCCACTCTTCATGGCCCAATTCAAGCCTCAGCTTCCCAGTGAAACCTTTCTCAAACACATGGATTTCTCCTTTTCCTGGTTTCTCATAGTACCTACTGTCTTATAATTCTAGAGACCATATCATAGTTATTATTGTCATGTGTGTGCTTTATTCCCTCAGCTATATTATAGGACCATTAGAACAAGTTTCTTATCTTAAATGGTTTTGAGTTTCACCTCGGTCAATGCCTTGCATAAAATATGCACTCAAGAGGCATTCCATTGATTGATACAAAGTCTATTAGTCTCTAAGAACATGAATGTCTTGTTTCATCATTAATATTTTATTTTTATTAAGCCATGGTTAGACATTCAGACATGTGAAATGGAGAGATTCACCACTTAATATCTCAAAATATTCTTGAGTTAAGAATCTCTAATCATAGGAGGAGTTGTTGTCGCCTTAAGAGATTAATTGAAAATAGCATTTGGCTATAAATTTCTATGCCAGCTTCCTTTTAATCCTGTGCTGACTTTAAAGTACACCAAACATTTCCGTGATCATCTCTAGACGATAATTCTGATGTAGAAACAACCTAATTTGTCATGGGGACTATCTTACTTTTAGTAACCTAGTAAGTTTTTTCCTACCTTCATGTCCAACTATCTATAATTCACAGTACAACCACTGAAAAGTTTGGGTATTTTACTTTCTGAAGTAATACCTGCCTTCACTGGTCCCTCCCACAATTAATTACATTCGGTTCTCAGATTTCATTCCTTCCTCTTAAAGTAAACAAACAAGGCGGGGCACGGTGGCTCACGCCTATAATCCCAGCACTTTGGGAGGCCGAGGCGGGTGGATCACAAGGTCAAGAGATCGAGACCATCCTGGTCAACAAGGTGAAACCCCGTCTTTACTAAAAATACAAAAATTAGCTGTGCATGGTGGTGCACGCCTGTAGTCCCAGCTACTCGGGAGGCTGAGGCAGGAGAATTGCTTGAACCCAGGAGGCAGAGGTTGCCGTGAGCCGAGATCATGCCATTGCACTCCAGTCTGGGTAACAACAGCGAAACTGTCTCAAAAAAAAAGGAAACAAAAACGAGGCATACTGAGGAATCATAAAAATGGGCATTTTTGTAAAACGCTCTCCTAATCAAACCTGCTATCCTGAGATATTTTCTCTTGCAAGCAAAAGCACCGAGGAGACAACGGGGGAAAGTACCAGAAGGAAAGGAAGCAAGAGAGGCATACTTGGCCGATCAAACTGACCCGGGTTCTAGCCCCCGCTAGGAGTAAGCAATGACAACCGCTACCCATACGCTGCCGATTCCCGCTCAGGCGCTCCCTGGACTTTTCTTTCCTCTTCCCCCAGCAGGGCCCGAATGACCCGTGTCCGTGCTCTGCGCCAAGGTGTGCAGTGCTACGGGGTCTCGCACGGAGATGACCTCAGACCGCTTGGCCTGCGTCCGGGCAGGCTTTCCCTCAGGCTCCGCAGCCCCCACCCAGGCGAGGTCATCCAGGTACTGAGACCCCAGCCCGAAGGACTACTGGGCCATACCCCGACCCCTCCTTCCCCGGCACTAACACGCGGGCACCGCGCCCCGCCCAGCCCGGGAACCGCGGCCGGCGGGGGGGGGGGGGGCGGCGCGGCGCGGCGACCGTTATTCGCAGTCAGCCATCGCGCCCCGAAGCGCACTGGGCAGGCCCTTACCACAGCAGAGAGGGAGACAGGGCGTAGGTGGCGCCCGGCCCGACGCGGGGCAGGAAGGCGGAGGCGGCAGCGCAGGGAGCGGCGACAGCCGCGGGGGACCCCGGCGGGCGCCCACGACGCGACGGGCTGCATGGGCGCCGCCATAGTGGGGACGCAGCGGCGGGCGGAGCGCGCGGCCGCGACCCGGTCGGGCGCCTGCGACCAATGGGTGCGCGGAAGCCGGGCGGAGTGAGGGCTTGACCAATGCGGAGCTGCGTTGCCCCGAGCGGCCCAATAGCGCAGGAGCCGCGGATTTGCCGGCCCGCCCATCCCGCCTACAGCGGGACCAGTGCTGCGGCAAGTGCCGGGAGTGAGGCTCGGCGTGTTTGGCTCTTCCAGGCACGTTGGGAAGTCTAGAGGTACCCTCCTCCCCCGGCTTCACGACCCAAAGGGACGCATAGTCCCCTGGAAAGCCTGTTTCGTCGCCTGCGCGCGGAACGGAAAGTGCTAGGGTGGTCACGGCCACTTCACGCCGAGGGACGCCTTATTTTCGCCCTCCAGGTCATGAGCTCCCAGTCCGCTCACTGAGGCCGACAGCTTCGGGCCTCCGGGGACCCTGGTGGGTAAGGGGGCACGAAGGTGAGCGTTAACTTCAGAGACTGGCAGAACATTTTTAGTCCGGGCACGGCACAGGGCCTCCAAGCCCCACATACACTTTGCAGCCTTCCCACCCCACTTTTTCATTCCTGCGGCTGAGCCCTGGCTTTATCCCCATGGGGCAGAATTTCAAACTTTTTTTTGAGACGGAGTTTCGCTCTTGTTACCCAGGCTGGAGTGCAATGGCGCGATCTCGGCTCACCGCAACCTCCTCCTCCTGGATTCAAGCAGTTCTCCCGCCTCAGCCTCCTGAGTAGCTGGGATTACAGGCACGGGGGATTACAGACTTCAGCCACCGCGCCCGGCCAGAATTTAAACTTAATTTCTCAACAAAGCCTGGGTGGAGGTCTCTAAACTACAACCTTGGATCCAAAGGCCCTACCTTACTAAGGGAAGAAAGTTTGCCCTAACAAAAAGGCTTCTGGGAGGAGCTGCCTAAGGCAGGAAGGCGCTGGCAGGCCGGGAAGTACGGCCTTTGGCTGGGGCCAGTTCTCTGAGGTCGGCCTGACTGCATAGGCAGCCAGTAAAGGAGAGAGCAGACCGGTCTGTAAGATTTGGATCAACTGAGTTTCGGCGGCTTCCTAAGAGTTATTACGTTAACAAAAATAAAAAGTGCAGTTGCTGGAAAACTGGTCAGCTGTTTAGTAAGAACTCTGCTGGCATTAAACCCGGCACCAACCCCTGGAAGCGGTGAGGTCGAGAGGGGCAGGGACCCTGTGTAAAAAGGCTGGTGAAGTGTTCCTCTTCCAAAGGCGTATGGATTAGTGGATTGTGCTCTCACCAATCCTCTTAAGGCCTGGTTCTGCCCACCCTCCCCTGCTACATCCTCTGGGAATCCCAGTGAAGTGTGGGCAAAAAAAAATAAGTCAGCTTCCCTCTCTGGGCCCCAGGAAGGAGCTGACGTAGAAAAGCATCACCTCCTGCACCTCCCTTTCTCTACCATGAGATTCCCATAGCAACCACCTCTCAACCCCCCAAGACATAAGCATCCAGAAAAGCTGAGCTGACCCAAGCCTCTCCTGCACCTGGACAGGGCCATGCCACAGGTGAAGTACCTGGCTGTCCAAGAGCCAGCTGGAGCAGCTCCAGGGAACCCAAGTCCGGCACCTCTTCATTGCCCCTCCCTGTTGTATGGCTCCCATCCTTGTACACTTTGAACTCAGGGACCCACCAGGCAAAGGGGACAGGGTCTTCCTCCAGGGAAGCTTCTCACCAACTAGACAGCTTGGAGAGCAATCTTAGGATCCCACTGGAGGTCGAGTCCCTTACTTCTCAAGCACCTAAATAAAATGCACCCCGTCCTTCACACTGGTCCCACAATTTGTATAGAACACAGATGCTGGCATGAACTTGGCTCAATGAAGATATATCAAATGGGGCAGTGGTGAGCTACTGTTTAGAAAACTCATTGGTCTGGTGCCTTCTGTTACCTCATCCTGCCCAACTCTAACGCAGAGGAAGCACAACAAAGAGGTACTCAGAGCCAGAAGTGTCCCTGTTCCCCATGACCCACCATACATGGCCTAATACAGAGCTTGACAAGGAAAGGATCCACTCTCTGGAACTTAATAGGGACTGCCTTACTGATTTGTCTTTAATTCACAGCTCTGCCCCAGAACCTATGAGTCTAGAGATACCCCCAGCCTGACTTGAGCCACCTGGGCTCCTTGGGGCAGCCAGCCAATCCTCTGCTCAACACATTTTATTGCTAAGGACAAGGTGATGCACCAGTTTTCAAAATAATTTGGTTTATAGTGTTCATACGTAACAAAAAAGGGGAAGTATTATAAATCTTGATTCTTGTATACACAGGGTATTGGTGTGAGGCCCTCCAATCCTGGGCCCAGGCAAACAAATGCATGAAGAGCAAAAACCTGTTTAACCCCTTCAGTATTGCCCTCTCGTCCCACCCCCACCCCAAAATCAGCTCCCTCCCACCCACAGTGGGCCTCCAATGGCCCCAGGTTTTCATCCTAACCCTCCCAGCCCCTGCATGATTGCAATTTTCTGTTGACAGAATCACCCACCAGGCTTTGCCTGCTTCCATCATTAAAATCCTCACTTCAGGGTAATCCCACTCACATCCTCCAATACTGTGCCACAGGGGCTCTGCACCTAGAGTGTTGTGGGCACACACCGTTATTATCCCCATGTTCTTTTTCAGGGGAAGACAAAGAGGTGGCATAAACTCCTTAGCATCTCAATACTGCAGCTTTGCCAGCACTGTCTTGAGGCTGTTCGAGGCCTGGACAGATGCCACACCCATCTCCAGCCAACCCCCAGGAGCCCTTACTCAGCTCAGCTGAGGGCAGAATTTCACATTTTGTTTGCCCTGCATAGGCAAGGAAGAAAGTAAAGGCCAGGGGCTGGCAGAAGCTGGTCCAGACCAAACACACACACACACACACACACACACACACACACACACAGGCACACACATAAATACAAAAGTGGGGGTTGGGGAAAGTACCAGCACCTCAGCCTAGTCGGTGCAGGTGATAGTTACAAAGCTAAGTCCTAGACCAGGAACAGGGCAGCCAGTCCAGCCAGCACAGTTGACCCCTCTATGGATTGGGGCCAGTGCAGCCACAGCATTCCAGTGCTCAGCTCCTCAGCTAGGAGATCAGCGACTGCTGCCACGTGCCCAGAAACAGCTCGTCCTTTCACTACAGCGGAATGCAATGAGGGTGGGTGAGAAGTTGATGGGTCGGTTATTTCATTCCTTTCCTTTTTACAACTTCACTTTCAGAGACTTCAGAGTTCCGTGTCTGCTGTGCTGTGGAACCCAGAGTGCTCTTGCCTTGATGGCTGGGAATCTCTTGGACCCTGGAAGCACCTACTCCATGATGGCCCGGTATAGTGCAGGCTCTATATAATCTTCCCGGTATCTTGAGTTGATAACTCGTTGCCGTTTCTTTTCTTGCTTAACCTCTTTCTCTGTGAAAATCTCATTGAAGCGCATGTCTGAGGCTACTGACTATAGAAGAATAGCAAGCCAAAAAATCACTTTGTGGTCAGCTATTCCAAGAAAAATACAAAAGGATGCGTCCTTATCTTGTTCCCTCCCTCCAAGACAGGAACGGGGACACACAAAATACTCACCAGTCTAGACTTGACTCTCTTGGGAAGCTCTTCATCCAGCGTGTACACATCATCTCTCTTAACCACAAGCTGTGAGCCATCCTCAAATTCCACCTATCAAGAAAACAAAGGCCTTCTGGCTAGTATATCCCCGACTCTTTCCCTGGTCCACCATGCACAATGGCGGTCTCCTACAGTCAAAGAAGGAGTTAGAACACTAAAATAAGGACTACCTTACTTCGCATTTGGTAGAATGAGCACAGGGCAGACCCCTAGCTCTGAAAGGGTTGCCAACATATTAATTCTCCTGAGAGCAAAGACTCGCCTCTGGCTTAAGAGGAAGCACAGAATTAATCAAGCACCCCCCACTCCCTAGGAAGATAGAACCTTTGGATACCTGATACATTTGGATAGGGTGGGAGGCCACAAACTTGGCTCCATAGACTTGACCGTCTGTCCATCTCACTTGGACCACTTCCCCTTCAGCAGGAGGACCCAACTGGAGACAGTCCTGGCTCTGAGGAAACAGGAAGGAAGGAGGGTGAAATGAAGGTCCACCTGCACACAAAGGTAACTGTCCTCTACTCAGGGAAGAGTGAACCAAGACAAAGTAACTGTTTTAGAAAGCAAGGCAGCTCTCTCTCCGGGCTGAAAAATGGTTAAAGACCTTGCGGGCCGGGCGCAGTGGCTCACGCCTGTAATCCCAGCACTTTGGGAGGCCGAGGCAGGAGAATTGCCTGAACCCAGAAGGCGGAGTTTGTGGTGAGCCGAGATCGTGCCACTACACTCCAGCCTGTAACAAGAGCGAAACTCCATCTCAAAAATAAATAAAGGCCTAAATAAAATAAATAAATTAATAGATAGATAGATAAATAAATAAGTCAACGTCTCCCTGCTTCTCTGCCCTCTCCTGCTTCTAGGTGACAAAAAAAGAAAACAATCCAGGCTGGGCATGGTCGCTCACACCTGTAATCCCAGCACTTTGGGAGGCCAAGGAGGGCAGATCACGAGGTCAGGAGTTTAAGACCAGCCTGGCCAACATAGTGAAATCCCATCTCTACTAAAAAACACACACACAAAAAAAATCGCTGAGCATGGTGACACGTGCCTGTAGTTCCAGCTACTCAGGAGGCTGAGGCAGGAGAATCACTTGAACCCAGGAGGTGGAGGCTACAGTGAGCCAAGATCACACCACTGCACTCCAGCTTGGGCAAGAGAGTGAGATTTGTCTCCCCCAAAAAAAAAAAAAAAAAAACTATAATAAACCTAGTAGTAAACATAGGAGTTAAGTGCCAGAATCAAGAGTCCTTCTTAGATTCCCTCAACTGTTCCTCTGAGGATTCTCCAGGGCTCTGCCATGAAGAAATGCTAGAACTGTACTCAATGCAGTGGCCTGATCTTGGCTCACACCTGTAATCCCAGCACTTTGGGAGCTCCAGACGAGTAGATCACCTGAGGTTGGGAGTTCAAGACCAGCCTGACCAACATGGAGAAACCCTATCTCTACTAAAAATACAAAATTAGCCAGGCTAATTTTGAACCTTCGCCTCCTGGGTTCAAGCAATTCTTCTGCCTCAGCCTCCCAAGTAGCTGGGATTACAGGCGTGTGCCACCATGCCTGGCTAATTTTTTGTATTTTTAGTAGAGATAGGGTTTCACCATGTTAGCCAGGATGGTCTCAACCTCCTGACCTTGTGATCCGCCTGCCTTGGCCTCCCAAAGTGCTGGGATTACAAGTGTGAGCCACTGTGCCTGGCCAGTTATTTTATAATATTAAACTATTGGCCTTTGTCACTGTGTTGTTGTTTATAGTGATAGTGTCAAACCTAGGATAGGTACAACTGCTGGCACCTGTGCACAAATGAAGGCACTGACCCCAAGCTCTACTACAGTTCTTATTGCATTTTTCACCACTGTACACTCATAATTTAGGAGAAAAGAGTAAAAATTCGGTTGCATATAACAATATCCCTTGATGAAGCAGTAAAAATTATTAATTTTGTTAAATTTTAATCGAGTACATGTGTTAAGTCTTCATAAGACACTTTTGGTTGTCTCAAAGAAATATATCTGTGTTGTTAGAGTTGTGAACTACACTAGTTGCTTTGTTCACAGAATTAGTTTTATTTGAAAAATATGACTGGGCTGGGTGCAGTGGCTCATGCCTGTAATCCCATCACTTTGGGAGACAGGTAGGAGGATCGCTTTAGCCCAGGAGTTCTAGACCAGCCTGGGTAGTACAGGGAGACTCCATCTCTACAAAACATCAAAAATTAGCCAGGTATGGTGGCATGCAACTGCAGTCCCAGCTACTTGGAAGGCTGAGGATTGCTTGAGTGCAGGAAGATGAGGCTGCAGTGAGCCGTGACTACACCACTGCACTCCAGCAGTGGTGCTGGGCAACAAAGCAAGACCCTATCTTTAAAAAAAAAAATCTACGAAATAAAAATTTTAAAAAGAAAAAAAATTACTGACAAACTACGGTTATTCAGACTTAGGTATCTATCTGGCAGACATCTTGAAAATGACGATGTGAACACTGTCATGTCAAGGAAAACATGAGTCAGTATCTGTTGCCAATAATAAAATTCAGGCATTGAAGTAAATATTAGCATTTCAGAGAAGCAGCAAGTTTTTTGATGACTATAAGTGATACTAACAAATGTAATTTTAGAAGTATTTAATAATATTTAACAACATTTCTAGGCTATCTATAGGCCAGTGCACCAGTATTTTCTAAATGACCAATGTAGATATTATAAAAAGATGCATTGGTGAAAGATCCATTCAGAAGAGACCAATGGGCTTTAGTGTAACGGTAGGAAAAGTTCACTGACCTTTCGGATTCCACACTGCAACTAACTTTTAAGAACCTGCCAGGAGCGGTGGCTCACACTTGTAATCCCAGCACTTTGGGAGGCTGAGGCAAGAGAATCACTTGAGCCCAGAGGTTTGAGACCACCCTGGGCAAGACGGCAAGACCCTGTTTCTACAAATAGCCAGTCATGCCAGTAGTCCCAGCTACTCAGGAAGTGCCTGGGCAACAAAGCAAGACATCATCTCTTTAAAAACAAACAAATAAACAAACAAACAAAGCTGTTACTTCCATTGAGTTTTGGTGGATACCAGAGAATAATAATCACAATTGCCTGAAAGACTAATAAAATACTTCTCTTGGCCGGATATGGTAGCTCACAGATGTAATCCCAGCACTTTGGGAGGCTGAGGTAGGCGGACTGCTTGAGCCCAGGAGTTCTGAGACCAGCCTGGGCAACACTGCAAAACCCCATCTAAAATTAAATCCCATTTAATTAAAAAGTTAGCTGAGGACAGGCAAGATGGCTCTTGCCTGAAGAGCCATCTTACCTATAATCCTAGCACTTTGGGAGGCCAAGGCGGGTGGATCACTTGAGGTCGGGAGTTTGACCAACATGTAGAAACCCTGTCTCTACTAAAAATACAAAATTAGCCAGGTGTGGTGGTGCATGCCTATAATCCCAGCTACTCAGGAGGCTGAGGCAGGAGAATCGCTTGAACCTAGGAGGAGGAGGTTGCAGTGAGCTGAGATCGTACCATTTCACTCCAGCCTGGGCAACAAAAGTGAAACTCTGTCTCAAAAAAAGAATCATAAAAGTTAGCGGGATATGGTGACAAGTGCCTGTAGTCCCCAGCTACTTGGGAGGCTGAGGCAGCAGAATTGCTTGAGCCTGGTAAGCGGAGGTTGCAGTCAGCTGAGATCACTGCATTGCACTCCAACCTGGGTGATGGGAGTGAAACCCTATCTCAAAAAACAGAAACAAACAAAAAACTACTCCTTTTTCCAGTTACGTATCTGTGCAAGGATGAATTTCCTTTTTATACTTTAACCTAAACAGTGTATCACAATAGATTGAATCAAGAAGTGACATTAAAGAGATTTGTAAAATTGCAGAAATGACATTCTTCTAATTGTTTTTGTTTTAGAAAAGTTACCTTTTTTGGTTTTTTGTTGTTTTGTTTTGTTTTGAGACGGGATTTCACAGTCTTCCCCAAGCTGATCTCAAACTGGTGAGCTCAGGCAATCCACCCGCCTCAAGCCTCCCAAGGTGCTAGGATTACAGGCGTGAGCCACCACACCTGGCCTGAAAAGTTACTTTTTATCTAAAAAATGCATTATTTAAATCAACCTGTTTTAATTTCTAATAAGACTAAATATTTTTAGATTTAACCCACAGAAACACAAGCTCTTTGGGATACTCTAACTTTTAGAAAACAGAATCCTGAGACTACTGTAAGTTAGAGATAATACCACATACTTCTCAGAGTGAGTATGAGAAGATAAAGAGATATTTGAAATAAGCACTTAGCATAATGCCTGGCATACTGTACCAGCTTAAGAAATTACAGCAGGGGCCACATGTGGTGGCTCAAACTCCTGTAATCCCAGTGGTTTGGGAGGCCAAGGTGTGAGGATCGCTTCAAGCTGGGAGTTCAAGACCAGCCTGAAAGCAACAAAACAAGACACTTGTAGCTACAAAAAATTTAAAAATTAGCCAGGCATGGTTGCATGTGCCTGTAGTCCTAGCTATGTAGGAAGCTGAGGCAGGAGGATCACTTGAGTTCAGGAGTTTGAGATTGTAGTGAGCTATGATACAGCCACTGCACTCAGCCTGAGTGGCAGTGAGACCTGGTCTCTCAAAACAATAAGGCAGAGCATAGCATAGCTGTAGCATAGTTCATGCCTATAATCCCAACACTTTGGGAGGCCAACGTGGGCAGATTGCTTGAGCCCAAGAATTCGAGACCAGCCTGGGCAACATGGCAAAAGCCTGTCTCTACAAAACAATTTAAAAATTAACTGGGTGTGGTAGTGCATGCCTATAGTCCCAGCTACTAGGGAAGCTGAGGTGGGATGATCACCTGAATCCAGGAAGTTGAGGCTGCAGTTAGCTGAGACTGTGCCACTGCAGTCTGGCCTGGGTGTCAGAGTGAGACCCTGTCTCAAAAATAAATAAATCACAGCTATACTACTGCTATGAGTACTACTAATGTCGCCTTTACTATAAGTCTACCTTATAACTAAGGAATGTCCTTTTAGCAACTAGATGGCTAATGTGGTATAAACATGGGTCAATACCTGATTTGTTAAATGAAAAAATGGTTTCATTCCTCTCTACTTTGGTGCTTAGTCTACCAAGTGAAAAGGCAAGGTGGGAATAGGGAAAACCTGAACTAAATCCTCAATACCAAGCCAGATATAGGATTGGATCCATGTGGGGCCACTGTGTCTCAGGTGTTAGTAACATAAGCAGGCTAGGGGTATCTCCAGACAGTTTCTACTTAGCCCTAAAGTCCTCCACTGTGAAGAGACAAAAGCAGATTCTATATAACTACTAAGAGGGCCTGATAGAAAAAAAGAGTTGGATAATTCTCTTAAAATCACACAGCTACTAAGCAATGAAGCTGGTATTGGCATATTTGATTCCAAAGCCTGGGATCTACTACTGCACTAGAATGCCCTCAAGGATAATTCAGATTGCAATAGATGCAGGTTTCAAGGAATTACAGAAAATTATGATTCCCAGGAACTTCTAGGGCAAACAGCATACCCTCGCACCACGCAGTTTTAAGGAAAGACTGGTACAAATGCTTCTTTCTGTTTGAGGACCAGGTGATGGGACCATGACCTGGCTAAGAAGAGCATGCATACACACAGTCTGCCAGACATTAGAAACATCCCCCATTCCAAAATGCTCAAGAACTCCTTGCAGATATTACCACTATGTCCTCAGGATAAAGATTGTCACTGAAGGACCCATCATCAAAGTTGACTTCATAGAAGGTCTCGGTGGTGAGCCTGACCACCTCACACTGGTAGAAGCGCCCATTCTTATGCTTGCTAATGACTTTCTGGCCTGCAGTGATGCTTTGCAAGGCCCCCTTGGCACGCTGAAAAAAAACAGAGGCTTCGGTTACTCACACATGGAGTTGGCGGGCCTGGCATATGAAGACCAAGATCAATTAGTTCCTTCTTATCAGGGAAAGATAAGCATGGGAAAATAAAAGTAAAAAGGAGAGAAGAGATGGGAGCTAAACCAAGCCTTTCCATGTACCCACCATCCCAGCCAGAACACTGGAAGACACCGGTACATTTTCCTCCATAAATTTAGCTCCTCCTATAAATTTAGCTAGTCTACAACTGACCAAATAGCACCTACTTAATTAACGTAGGCAGCTCAGATATACATCAACTTTAAAGTATGAAAGGAGAGATTCAATAGGTGCCCCGAGGCCTGGGCCCCCAGGCAAAGCTGCACCACATGTTAGCACCAGTGTTACCCTCAGGGCTAGGGCACAAAAACTCAGGTTTCATAGATGTCTCCAGCTATACACAACAAACTGCTCCTCATTCCAAGGGCCCTGCCATTGCCATTTTTGGTGCCCTCACCATTCCCTTCTCATACTGAACTTCCCCTTGATGCAAACAGGATCACAAAGCATGTGACAGCCTCATGTCCAAGCATTCCTGCTAGCCTGCCCAGGCACTCTGCCCCAGCCTTGGCCCCCCTTGCTGTTCCCTGAACGAGTGTGCCACACAAGCTGCTGCCCAGGGCTTCGGCACTGCTGGTTCTTCTACCTGAGATGCCATTCCCCAGTTACTTGCACACTGACTTCCATTCCAGTGTCAACTTATTGGCATCATTCCTTACTACTTAATCTTCCATTCCCCTTATCTGGATTAATTTTTATCCTTGCACTTCTCACCATCTGCTATACCGTGTATTTACTTGCTTTCTGTGTGTCTTTCAACCCTATACTGCATACACCATAAGGGCAAGGACTTTTTTGTCTTGTTCGATGGTATAGTCCTGGCACCTAAAACTGCCTGGCACATAGTAGATGCTCAATAAATATTTGAAGAACAAATCAGTGAAAGAAATATTGACTCAACAGTCCCCCCAATTTCCTCATAGCACAAACAGTCTACAGCTGCCATCTTAAGCATGTGGAAGACTAATGATTATCACAAAATAATTATTCTGTGTATGACAAAACTCCTATTTCCCTATCATAGCTGTTGTCTCAGTACTACCTCACATTTTTACTTGCATCAAGGGCAAGTTCAGAATAAGAAGGGCATGGTAAGAGTACCAGGGATGGCTATGGCAGGGCCCTCGAGACACTCCAGAGTCTCATTCTCACACAGAATATGTTCCCATTTTCCTAAGGTCCTAACCATACCCCTAACCACCAGCCATGTTCAACATCTTCATGAAAAAGAATGCAGTCAGCCAACCAGGACTTTTCCACAATCCCAAATGGCAGAGTGAAAAGTTCTTCCTTCTGGGCCGGCCATCTATCATGTTCTTCCTTTGAGTATGTATTTACCACACTGTTGTCAAACCTGTATGATCATCTCTTCAATTAGACTGTAACTCACTGACGGCAGAGCCTTCCCCAACTATGCTCTGGCTTCTGACCTGACTACCTCACAGTGACACTCCAGTTTGTAGTACTTAGTGACTACCACACCAGCCCTGCCTTCTCTATCACATGTGACCCTCCTTCCTCCCACTGGCTTGCTCCATTTTCTCAGCTGCTTTACTGGTTCATGCTCTGCTACCTGCTCCTTCCTCTGGGAATCTCCAGAGCCCAGTTTCTAATGGGAACTAGATTTAACGATGCTGTTAGATGTTAACAGCCAAATCTTTACCCTCACTTACTCTGCAGAATGCTCCAGTGACCTCAGCATTTACTTTTCTCTTTCTCATCCTTCCTTTTCTCCCTTGCAGAACAACGCTGCTTCAACTCAGTTCCTGATTGCAGTGACTAACATCATATTAGCACCCTTCCCGTCTCTCAAGGGAGTAACCTGAGTCATCTTCAATATTTACTTCCCCTTTCTTCCTCCTCTCCCCTTCTCAACCCAGGAGGGTCAACAAACCCTACCAATTCTACCTGTTGTGGGATCTCAAAGTTAAATGCAACCCCAAAGCCCTGCCTATGTGTTTCCATTTCAGACCTCACTCTCCTAGGCTAACTGGTTTTCCTGCCTCAAATTCTTATTCTTTGAATCCTCTCTTCAAACAACCACCTAAGTGATTATCACAAACTATAATTCAGAATCAAAATATTCAACAAGTTCTCCTCATCCAGTGAAGAGAGGTCAGTCCTGAGAGGGGCAGTGCAAGGCTTTCATCCTCTGGCATTGTCCACCTCTCAAGCATCATCCCCGTCACACTCCCATAACCAGTCTTTCGTGGTCATTCTTCCGTGACTTGCTCATTCTGTTTCTGAAGCTTTGAATGGCCTCTGCACACAATTCCTTCTTACTGTTCAAAACCCACTTCAAATGCCACCTTCTATCCAAAGCCCTTCACAGCTCCTCTAACTAACATTACATGTCTCTTTTTCTCTAAGCTTTACCATTCAGAGAACTGCAGAAATCTCTGTCTGGCAACTCATGGTTAACTCTTGGGAGCTCTCAACATTTTCAGAGGTTCTGCATGGCCCAGATACTAGGTTAAGTAATAGGGATGTCCACATTAATAAGATATGGACCCTCAAGAAGTTTATCCTGTTGGAGAGGCAGATAAATAAAGAGATAATCAAAAGGAATCAACTACAAGCAGTTTGGTGCCACTGTATTACGGAGTACAAGGCAGGGAGTGGAGATGGGCAGGGGCTGTCTTGCAATCCCTTAACTCATTAGCACTCTCCATAATGCAGAATGCTTGAGGAAACAGTTGCTGACACAATAAATGGAAAACATGCAAAGAAAATGATCATGAAAACTCAAGAGGATTGTAGAATGGCACCCTCTCTTACCTCCAAATTAGGAATCCTGTGCCGAAAGCAGGTAATGAAGACCACAAAAGGCCAGTCGTCAGGCTGCATCATCACACCCGCAGCCTGCGCACAGCTCACATGGAAGGCAGTTGGGCAGCGGCCGTGAGAACACTGCACACAGCAGCCAGCAGTTCTTTTCCTGCGCTTCTTACAGAAGATACATTTCTGTAGCACAGGGGAAGAAAACCAGTGACTGCAGGAACTGACACTACAGCTTCCTCCACTGTTCCCCTCCCAAATGCGAAGTCAAGCAAGTAAGAACCAGCCCCTTCCCAAAATATGAGGACACACCAGCCTGCTCTAATCCAGGTCTGGCACAGTCTCGGCTCACTACAACCTCCACCTCCCAGGTTCAAGTAATTCTACTGCCTCAGCTTCCTGAGGAGCTGGGATTACAGGTGTGTGCCACCACCCCCAGCTAATTTTATGTTTTTAGTAGAGGCAATTTTATATTTTAATTTCACCAAGTTGCCCAGGCTGGTCTCAATCTCCTGACCTCATGGTCCTCCCATCTCAGCCCCCCCAAAGTGCTGGGATTACAGGCATGAGCCACCACGTCCAGTCTCCACTAAGGAATTTAACCACAGTGAGAATCACAAACTCTAACCAAAACCAAGGGGTACAGGTGTTACTGTTTTCTTCTACCCAGAGCCTCGCAAGTCAGGAAATTATATAGTGTCTACAAGCCCTTACCAGTTTGAAGCGGGGCAGGGGGATTTTGCTCACATCCACTGGACTTCTTTCTGCAATGTTGACAAACCTTGCTTCCAGAATTGCCACAGCACATGAAACGTGGACCCACCTGCCAAAAGGCAAAGGCTACCTCAGTCACCTCTGGGCCCAAGGTTCTGTGGCCATCTCTTTTCATGTGGGCCTGGTGACAGTGCTTCCTCCCTCACCTGGGTGACCAATGACTTCCACCAGCATGTGCCTGGGACCCAGGAAGGTGAGAACCGGAACTCTCTCTCCTCTGAGTATGTGCAAGCAGTGCCACCCCAACTGCTGCTGCTGCCACTTGCCACTGCCCACTGCCCTAGGTTAGCACAGGATCACACTTCTTATATCACTCACTCACTGTCTGTTGAAAAATGAGCAGAGCCGCAGGCTAATGGTATGTGGCAGGTTTCAGGGAGTGAGAATACATTGAAGAGCTCTATGCAGACCTCTTTTACCACAGGACCTGAGTGATTCCTGAAAATATCCCCGGCTGTGCCCCAATCTGCCAATAATCACAGCTCTCTCTTGGCCTCTGCCCAAACCTCTCCCCCAGGCTGAAATGACCTTTCCCTTCTGTTCCCTTTTTCCATAGCTGACTCACTCTTTAATCTTTAAAGTCTGACCCAAGCCCCACTTACTCTGAGAAGTCTATTCAGCAGACATCGTTAAGAATTAAAGTAAGTTTTAGACATTTTGGGAAACCAGCATGCACCAAGAGATGAACTAAAATGGTGAAAGCTCTTAAAACCAGGCTGCATGAAAACCTATAACAGGCCGGGTGCGGTGGCTCAAGCCTGTAATCCCAGCACTTTGGGAGGCCGAGGCGGGTGGATCACAAGGTCAACAGATCGAGACCATCCTGGTCAACATGGTGAAACCCCGTCTCTACTAAAAATACGAAAAAATTAGCTGGGCATGGTGGCGCGTGCCTATAATCCCAGCTACTCAGGAGGCTGAGGCAGGAGAATTGCCTGAACCCAGGAGGCAGAGGAACGGTGAGCCAAGATCGCGCCATTGCACTCCAGCCTGGGTAACGAGCGAAACTCCGTCTCAAAAAAAAAATTAAAAAAAAAAAAAAAAAGAAAACCTACAACAGACAGTACTGGGATTCATGGAAGCTGTCTGCAGTACTAGTGGGGCTGTCTTTTTAGAGTAGGAACAGATTTGTTCTGTGTGGCCCTAAACGACAGAACAGGCATTCACAGGTAAAGGCAAGAGGTTCAAGCAGAGCCACTTCCACTCCAGATAAGAAATAATGTTCCCAGCACTAACCTGATATTGTAAGGAACACAGTGACCTCAAATTAATGGCAGCAAGTGCCTTTAAAGGAGCAGAAGCAAAGCAGAGTAGCCATCTATCAGGTACAGCATGACAGGGGCTCCTGAGGGCAGGCACCGGACTGAACATATGCTGCAAGTTTCCACAGGATTCCACTTGGAAGCAGAATACTCAGCACTGACCTGCATACACCATGCCCTAGACAGCCAGCTCTTTCAAGTCAGAAACCTCATTGAGCTTACATTTCCACCTCAGAATGAGCAAACACATGTCTAAGCACAAAGATTCACTCCATGAAAACGAGCTGCCCAACAGCTGAGAAGCCCAGAAACTTCAGTAGATTCAGTTCCATAGCGGGTGGGCCTGTCTGAACTCTCCCGAGTGTCCTCCTTGAGCACACTCGCCTCATTCCAAACAGCAGGTCTGAGCCAGGGAGTCTGCCGTGTGGAGAAGTGCTTGCTAGCCTGTGGCCACCTCTGCACACCAGCCCCAGCTGTGACAAGGTGAATGTCCTCACTCCAGCCCACACAGTCCCTGTGTATCATCTTCACGGCCTTCATATTCTCATGAGTCCATTCTTAGCTCCTTCAAAGGAGGATGTCACTGACATCTCTGCTGCAGAGGAGCCGCTAGAGTTGGAAAGTCTGGGGCTGCTTGGCTCCCTTAGCATTCCATTTTTTAAATGAGTCTTGGAGATGCTATTCCAGCTCCACACGATGTGCTTCCTAAATCCTCATCAGTCATTCAGAAGAACAGCTAGGACCTTCACAAAGGCACTGCATGCTTCAGAACTGAGCCTGTGCATTCCAAGGCACGGCTCAGGAAACTTACCTGTCATCATTTGCTCTCTGCAGGGCCCCTCCTCGTAATGAGCATAAACAGCAGTCCTGCCAAGAAAAGAGAGGGAGGAAAAAGTGGTTAACACCAAGTCATTAACATTCAATCTGCTCTCCCCTGGACCTGCTCTGGGCAACTCCTCAACATAAGAAAGCAGCATAATAGCATCTGGGGCTTCACCCAGGCAGCCCCTGCACCAGGACGCCCTGTTGGAAGAGAGGCAACTCAGGGCTAAAGTGTACCAAGTATTCACGTGATTTCACACAATCCTCTTCACTGTTACTACTATCAACTCTTAGCAGAGTCACGAAAAATACTTCGCTTGAACTAGAGGCACAACAGGGCTCTGACATGGGCTAGGTACAGCCAGGTTCCGGGGGTACAATGAAGAGAAGCTGCACAATGAATCATCTGAGCCCCTTTCTGAGGCTCCAACTTGAAATGGCTAAATTGCTGTAAGGGAGTCATTGTTTCTCCACAGCAAGACCACTAGTTGGTCTTAGACAATGGAGCAAACACAGCATCCAGACTCCGTAAGTGGGCAGCCACTCTCACTGTCATAGGATTCACTCTCACAGTACTCGCTCTCTGACATCACTGTGTACCAGGCCCTATGCAGATTGCTAGGAATACTAACTAAGTCCAGCATGAAATCATCTGGCCCTGAATATGCGCCAAGACTCGCAGTGAAGACAGTAACAGTACAGGATCACTCACCTCCTCTAAGGCATTGGCTGAACACCTAGAACACATCCAGTCTTCAGAAGCCTTTGCAGGGGGGACCCCATAGCAACCTAACAGGGACACCAAGATGAGCAAATTAAACCCAGTGGTCAGAGTCAAAAGGTGGATCTGCAATTCCTTTCCGTATACCACCTCCCAAAGCTACAACCAAATTTCACAGAAAACCCTGAGTTTTCTTTAGTCTGAGTCCCCAGGACTCAGGCATACAGTATGGCTCAAAGTCTTAAAAAGTCAAAAACTATAGATTCACTAATACAAAAACCTAGTAAGTAGCAGGGACTAATCCCTTTCTGCTATCTGCAACCAAGAGGATAGCACAGAGATGACTACTACAAGTATGGACCCCTGTAGACACAGTAAAAAAATCAACCAGCAAAAAACTCCCCAATAACATGGCAATAACCTTTTAGGGACTGGGAGGCCAGTACGTGGCAAGGACTTGCAGTGAGCAGGTCCATACTCCTGGGACAGGACACAGAGAAAGGTGAGCAGCACTCACTGGCATGAACCCGGACACTGCACTTCTTGCAGGAAACTAGTATGCTGGTACCATCCTCCTCAAGGTAAGGAGTAGAAAGGTTGATGTCCGTGCTGCAGCCAGTTGAAGTGAAGCACATTTCTGGAATAAGTGGCTTGGTCCTCTGCTTCTGGGGGGCCAAATCTGGAGCATTTCCACAGTTCTGACTAAAGCCTCCAAACTCAACCTAAGGGGAAAGAACAAGTGTACACCTCAGTGAGCACATGCCTATGCTCTTAGCCTTCCACCTGCTCTATCAGCAGAAAGCTGGCTCTCTCACCAATCTGACTATGGTTACAGCTCCCGGGTGCACAGCCATTATCCCAGAGCTGCTAATTGAAGTTACCTCTAATGACTCAAATTCAATTTCTCACAGCAGCATCAAACAAAGGCCCCTAGGGGACAACTGAGAAAAGGGAGCAAGGTAAGAGGCAACTGGGATTTCAATCTTCCCAAAGCAAATGGTAATAAAATGCACTGAGAGGCCAGGCGAGGTGGGATTGCAGTGCTGAGGCCATGCCTGTAATCCCAGCACTTTGGGACACTGAGGCGAATGGATCACCTGAGGTCAGAGTTTGAGACCAGCCTGGCCAACATGATGAAACCCCATCTCTACTAAAAATACAAAAATTAGCTGGGCATGGTGGTGCATGCCTGTAATCCTAGCTACTCAGGAGGCTAAGGCAGGAGAATCGCTTGAACTCAGGAGGCAGAGGTTGCAGTGAGCCCACATCACACCATTGCACTCCAGCCTGGGTAACAGACTGAGACTTCATCTCAAACAAAACAAGACAAGACAAAAATGCACTGAGATGTTAGCAGATAGGCTGCTACTGTGGGCTCCCTTACGTGCTACACCATATGGTGACCCCACCTGGGGAGAGCACCCAGAGCAGATACTCTTAATGGGCCAGCACTGATTGCCTCTGGTGATGCCTGTCAGCAGGTCAGCAGCAGTGCTGAGCTGCAGCACTGTTATATGGCTAGAGCCCCACCTGTGATTCCTGGCTCAGGGTCCCTCCAGGAAGAACTTATATCCACATACTTCCCTTGGCAAACTATACTGATTGCAAGTATCTGCTGGCTTGGCTCTGCTGTTGGATGGCACCTTCACCACCATTCTAAGGATGAGACCCAGAAACATGTCAACCCCAGAGCCTATGTCATTTGTGAAACTCCTACTTAGTAGATCTGTTGACAGTAAGAACCCAGCCATTCACTCCTCTCACAGGCAAAGGCTTTGGTTTTGCTTTTTGTCAGTGGAAAGGTTTAGTGAGTTCCTAATCCAAAGTGTATTGGTCTGAGGTTCCATTTTCAGCAAGCATGAATCTGGGGCCCTGCCAATCTCAGCAGCAGCCAGGCCACTTTAACCACCAAAACAGGTAAGAACCACTTACCTACCCCTGCCACCCTGTGCAGGTCCCAGCTGGGATTGAGCTGGTCTCCTGGCATCTGCTGCTGTGAATGCCTTCCTGGCATCCTAGAGCTGGACCCAAAGAGATCCATCAATGAAGCCATAGAAGTCCCAGAGTAGGGCCAGGCGCGGTGGCTCACGCCTGTAATCCCAGCACTTTGGGAGGCCAAGGCAGGTGGATCACGAGGTCAAGAGATCGAGACCATCCTGGTCAACATGGTGAAACCCCGTCTCTACTAAAAATACAAAAAATTAGCTGGGCATGGTGGCGCATGCCTGTAGTCCCAGCTACTCGGGAGGCTGAGGCAGGAGAATTGCCTGAACCCAGGAGGCGGAGGGTGCGATGAGCCGAGATTGCGCCATTGCACTCCAGCCTGGGTAACAAGAGCAAAACTCCATCTCTAAAAAAAAAAAAAAAGTCCCAGAGTATGAGGCACACAGCTGAGCTCAGTAACCTCACTTCCCATCCCCTCCTCACATATCAGGCCCTTGCTTCTACCCAAGTTCCTTCTGTTACTGGCAACACCCATTGTGGCAATGAGAAAGGAAAGACAAGATTAGAGGATCTATCTTTTCATCTGAAGTTCAGACTGTGGTAAAGAAATTACAGTTCTCCACACTGGCCAGGACTACAAACCACTTGGCAGGAATAGTCATGGACTAGACTAACAAAAATGCAGATTGCTATGCAAACAATGATGTCTGTGATGAGTGCATGTGCAAAGGGAAGCTTAAGCCCACCCTCAGCTTGTCTCCAAAGCATTCTCAATTGAAACCCACAATGCTGGGTTATCTGCCTGGAGAAGACTGACCAATACACAGATGGGGCAGAGAATACTGGGGGCGGAGGAGGCCTTTCCCAAGACAACCAGTGACAAGCTATATACTAACAAATCTAGCTTCCCTCTGATTGCTAGTCCTGGGTAAACAGAGTGCATGGAGCTGAGTTACCTGATGGTAAGTCTGGAAGATCATACAGACAGCGCAGTGAGGGGCCTGCTGGGCCATGGTCTCGTTGAATTCCTTCTCAGCCTCAAAGTTTGGAGGTCGGTTCTGCCATAGCTGGCTCAGAGGTTTGGCCCAGGCCTCTGTCTCCTCAGCCTCTTCCTCAGGGGTCAGCTGTTCAGATGTCTCTAGAGAAGGAAACAGAAATGTGAGTCAGCACCAGCCCTGCACACCTGTCGCTCTGCCTGGAGAGCAGATGAGTTCAACTAGGACTTCTGGTCCTAGGTTTTGACCAAGGGTGACTCCTGGATTCCTAAGGATGATAAAGGCAAAGGGTGGAAGCAATTGTCAATAGACTCCTTCAATATCTGGACGACGTGTGGGAAGTCCTGCCAGTACCCCATTCTCTGGCCAGACTGACTCATGGCCTCCATTCTTCCTCCTGCTCCACGAGCTCAGCTTGCTCTGCTCTCCCTTAACAGCTGCCACATTCAACCCCTCTGCCCAAGGACAGCAGAATGAACCACCATCTTGCCAGAAACTGTCTTACTTGCTGCCTCCAAAATGTCAGCATGTTAAGTCCTTTACCTTTTAGACTTTTCCCTTTAGAGCAACTAAACAAAGAAAGAAAATAAAGGAATGGGCAAAGCTGAGAAGTTGTAATATCATGGTCCTTGGACAGGACTTTCCAGCTGCCTCTGGAAAGATCAGGGGTAGTACCTATTCTGGACAAGGTTCCCTAACCGATCCTAGCTCTGCCTCAGAAGAAATCAGAGCTGCATGTTCAGAATGAATCCTCTTCCCAGCCACAAGATGTAATGTCCTGACGCTGGCAAACAATATCCTGCAGGCTGAATCCAGCCCACTCAGGAAGTTAAGAATTATTTTTACTTTTGGGGATGGAGTCTTGCTATGCTGCCCAGGCTGGAGTACAGTGGCTATTTACATGTGCAATCATAGCCCACCACAGCCTCAAACTCCTGGGCTCAAGTGATCCTCCCGCCAAAGCCTCCAAAGTAGCTCAGATAACAGGCATGTGCCACTGCACCCAGCTTTGTTTTTACATTTTCAGCATTGGGGCTTAAAAAAAAAAAGACAACCACAGAGACCAAGGAGGACTGTAAAGTCTAAAATATTTACTTCCTGGCCCTTCATATATCCCTGGTCATGACAGACTGTACCTCCTAGGTATGCTAGACAGCAGAGCATACAACTTATTGGACTTCACCAAGGCCTGGGAAAGAAAAATCCCCTCTGGGTGCATCTTCTTACAAGAAAGGGATATACAGCTGAGTAGAAAACAAAAAAAGTTTGCTCACAAAACTCATATAAATGATAAAGGTACACATTTCCCAGTTATTCCTCAATCGGTGAGACAGGCACAGTCTACAAGCTCCCAGCAGAAACAAGGAAACAGAAACAGGGAAGTAAAAGGAAATGCCAGAATTCTGAAGGTTATGAGTAAATGAGGACAGTCTTTAGTAGATGTCCAAAATGTTTCTCCAGATGCTCCACCATGCCGGGGAGGTATGAGAAGCTACAGTTGCTGTGCCCTTCTTTGCCAAGTGTGATCAAGCAAGGCCCAACTATGCAGCCCCTGATAGGAGACTGGCTCTGTGCCAGCCCCATCAGATGGGGCATTCCGAAGGATCACTGCATCTCGCTAGGAGTGGCATCATCAATCCCCTGCTATGACCCTCCAGTGATCTCGCTTCTTCCCAGACAGAAGTGCTTTCCCAGAAGCGGCCCTGAAATCTGTTCAAAGCAGCCATGGAGAGCTCTGCTCTGCATTAGGTTCCTTTTTTTTTCATTTCTGGCAACACCAGCTCAGTGCAGATAGTTTTCTACTCTGCCCTCAAAGTCGTGTTAAATCTAAAGGCATCTGGCATCTGCCATTGTGCGCCGCCTCAGTGTAGCCTAAGGACACCAATGCAGACAATTAAAATCAACCCCTATTTGCCCCATTGTTCAGTTGTAATCAGGAGCCAACGTACTTAGAACCCAAACAGATTTTTTTTCTTTATCCTGGCCAAACAGGAGTGACCAAGATAGAATGGAAGAAACAGAGACAAACAGACAGGCTCACACTCACAACTAAAAAATTAACACACTGACATCTGTTCCATTTACAAAGCCAAAAGTGACCCCAAATCATTACATTTGTGAATACTGAATGATGAGGGAAAATGTTCACTACATTAAGCGAAAATTTCAGGAAGCAAAATTATACAGTTTACATATGTAATACTTCATTGAGCTGTATAGTTCAAAGGTGTGCATCACTGAATTGTTATGCTTGAATTGAAATTTATTTTAAATTAGGGGGAGGCATAAACATTAAATAAACAGTTGCCCAATACAGTATGTGATCTTAGCTTGATTTATATTAGAGTTCAAAGGAAATAACTATAAAACACATTCTTGGCACAAGCAGGGAATGATGGGCATGGACTGAAGATGAAAGGATATTGTGGGGCCAGGCGTGGTGGCTCATGTGTGTAATCCCAGCACTCTGGGAGGCTGAAACGGTGAATCACTTGAGGTCAGAAGTTCAAGACCAGCCTGGCCAACATGGTGAAACCCCCATCTCTACTAAAGGATACAAAAATTGGCTGGGCATGGTAGCATGCACCTGTAATCCCAGCTACTTGGGAGGCTGAAGCAGGAGAATCACTTGAACCCAGGAGGCAGAGGTTGCAGTGAGCCAAGATCATGCCAGCTGTACTCCAGCCCGGGCAAGAGTGAGTGAGACTTCATCTCAAAATAAAAAAGTAGGGGAGGTTGTATGTTATCTCAATTGCATTATTTCGTTATTTTAAAAAGATATACATGGACATATTCTAATATATGATTAGAAAAGTCAGGAGGATAGATAATATATTAATATATTCATAATGGTCATCTTTGAAGGGTAATTTTGTTTTCCTCTTGGTAACTTTTACAGTTTCCTAAAGTCTATATTGCTGTAAACCAATCAGGAGATAGGCTGGTGCTACCCAGAGAACCTGAAGCTCCTGTCTGGGTGGAATAAGAACATGGAAGGCTCCCTAGGACCTTACTCAGAGTCCTGCCACACTTCTGACTGGAGGGCAGAAGGGATGTTCCCCATCCAGTTTATCATGATCTTTCAACTTTAAAAAAAAAAAAAAAAAAAAAGCAGAGATGGGGCACTGATATCAGATCAGGAAGGAGAGGACCAGGTAGGACAGAGCCTGACATTAGTCAAGAGTTACAATTGATTCTGCTCTCCCTGAGGGTGCCAGGGCCCAGTCACAAACACAGCCAGAGCTGAGGCTCTGCAATGCTGATCTTCCTGAATCTCTGGGCTCCAGGAAGCACAGGAGACCACTCTCCTCTGATGTCGATGCACCCGGAGCTTCAGTGCTACATTGCCTAGTTCTCCTTACACATGTCTGCTTATCCCACTTCACTGCCTCCTTCACAGGCTCCTCTCCCTCCTCCGTCCACCTAGCCCCAGCCTCTTGCTCACCCCAATAGGTCTCCTCCCAAAGAGTGGGCTCATTATTCCAACAATGGTATCAAATGTCACCTCAGTGCCAACTCATAAGTCTACATTCACAGGTTTCCCCAACCAAAGCTATAAACTGGGGACACACTCAACTCATCCTCCTCAACTACCATCCTCATAGCTCCACAGCCAGTCACCGATTCCAGCTGATTTTATCTTCCAAATACATTGCCTACCACCACCATCCACTTCAGACCTTCATATTGTAGACAGACCATTACAGAAGCCCATATGGTCGTCTCAAAGCCATCCTTGAGAAGCCAACACTAGGAGTGATCTTTTCTAAAGGCATCTAAATGACCATGACATTCCTCTGCTTAAAGCATGTCACTGGCTCCTGAATGCCAGTAAGACAAGGTCCTTACTCTGGCCTCCAATGATAACACTGTCCAGAATCTGGCTTCCCTCCTCCTACCCCACCTATCACTCCACTCCCTGGCCTTGCCCTCCAGCTCCAGCCACACGGAGCTGACTGTAGTTTCTCTGACGACAGCCTCCTGCTTCTCTTCTCCATGGCTACACTTGCTGTCCTTCTACCCAAACTAACACCTCTTCTTTCTTGCGATCTGTTTACCTGTCCAGTTTCCTCACTACCCTGTGAGTGTCTTGAGGGCACGAACATTATCTTAGTTAGCTATGCAGCCACATATCCAGCACAGGGCTTTGCATCACTGACAGAATTTTCTATCCTGAAAAATCAGCCTTGTAACTCCCAGGAAAAAAAAGGGAAAAAAACCTGCCTGCAATTATCCCTTATTAAGGGGACACTCCAAGATACTCAAACTTACAATGAAATCTGGTTAGTCATTTCGATATAAGGAAATCCTGTCCTCCTTATGGAATATCTGGGAGAGCAGCTAAGCCGCAGGCCCACCCTTATCCCTCAGCTTGGCCTTCTGATGTTCTGTCCTGTCAAGCCTAATGTGTGAGCTGCATTCCTCCTGGTGAAGAAAAAACAACACTTACCCTCGTCACTGACACACTCCTGCAACACAAGTGGGTGATGGCGGGGGAGCTTGCTTAAAGGCTGACGGCGGCCCTTGGACTTCTTATTCTCCTCCAGGGAAAACATGTATTCATCTGCAACCTAGGCAAACCAGAAAAAATTAAAATTGGTCACGTCTCTACTTACACAGCACAAGTCAGCCTTACAATGAAAACCAAAGGAAAGAGAGGGGCATAGAGCAACAAAAAGATATATAAAACCAAACACAGAAAATGCCTGTCTTAGAAAAAGCCAAATGATAATACCACATCCCAAACTAGACCAGGATTATGTAAATTTAGGGCAACACCCAAGTGTAGTTTGTAGCCTTCTCAGGAGCAGCCTGAAACAAAAGTACCAAAAAGAAGCCTGCTCTAGCTCTGAGAAAGAGCCGTGCCCTGTCCCTTAAGCTCACTGCCATGAGACTACTGAGGTAGCCCAAGTGAGAGAGCTCTCAATGAGCCCAGGGGCCCCTTTCTTGGCCCAGAAGGTCAACAGTACCTGTTAAAATGTGCCAGGCAGCTGGGCCACCCAGGAGTGTCTAGGGGACACCTAAAGGGGTGAGCAGCAGCTGACCTACTAAAATAGGCAAACTTCTCCTTATACACTGCCAAGACTTCAGCTCTAGCAGATACTGTTCATTCCTCAGTTAGTTGCTTCTTCTCCAGGGGAGAACATCAGCTAGGACAGAATGTGCATCTGAAACTCTGGCTTGGCTGCAATGGGAAAGGTTGATTTAACACTGTATTTACATAATGTCAATGCAAGTGTAATCAGATTTAAATGTACAGGACTGGCAGAAACACTACAGAAGGGTTTCTTCCTAATCAACATATTTAAAACTTGGTTATACTGACATTAGGAGACGCAGGGTTAGCAAATCCATTAAGCAAGGAAATGAGGCCTGAAAGAGGGCCACTTTGCAACTGTGACAAAAACCAATGCCATAAATGCTGCAGTGCTACTTCAGAGAAGATGCCCTGGGCCGATAGACTCCATGTGTGACTACACAGAGCGCCAGGAGTTGGACCACAATTGGAATGCCAAGAAAAAACAATTTCTTTTTATTTTTGAGATGGAGTTTCGCTCTTGTTACCCAGGCTGGAGTGCAATGGCGCGATCTCGGCTCACCGCAACCTCCGCCTCCTGGGTTCAGGCAATTCTCCTGCCTCAGCCTCCTGAGTAGCTGGGATTACAGGTACGCGCCACCATGCCCAGCTAATTTTTTGTATTTTGAGACAGGGTTTCCCCATGTTGACCAGGATGGTCTCAATCTCTTGACCTCGTGATCCACCCGCCTCGGTCTCCCAAAGTAGTGGGATTACAGGCTTGAGCCACTGTGCCCGGCCAGAAAAAAACAATTTCTAAACAGGCCATATCCAGGAAGAACAGAGCCTGCTCTTCCAAACGTAAATTTTGCCAACAAGTATTGGCATCCATTTGCCATTCATTCAACAAATATTCACTGGGCACCTACTGTGTGCAAAGGCCTGCCCAGGAAAGGAAGAAGGTGTGGAGAAATGAAGAGGATGTGATCTGTGCTTACGTGACTGAGGATGCTGCAGCAGTATGGAGGAATACGGTGGAGGGAGGATATTAGGGACTTTTTTCTACTGATGTCCATGAAGACTTAACATGATCATAGACTTAATTAGATCTGAACTATACCAACTATCTAAACCACTGATTTTCAAAATGTACATCCAAAAAGTGCCTCAGGAGCCTCCATTATACTGAACGAAAAGGGCTTGAGGCTCCACCTTCTTTCCAACCAGAATGGCTCTGCTTTTGATTTGTATTTTTTAATTAAGATTTCACTTAAAGGGTTCTGGCCAGACACAGTGGCTTATGTCTATAATCCCAGTACTGTGGGAGGCTGAGGTGGGTGGATCCCTTGAGCCCAGGAGGTTGAGACCAGCCTGGGTAACATGGCAAAATCCTGTCTCCACACACACACAAAAAAAGAAAAAATTAGCCAAGTATGGTGGCATGCATCTGCAGTCCCAGCTACTCAGGAGGCTGAGGTGGGAGGATCACCTAAGCCTGGAAGATCAAGGCTGCAATGAGCTGAGACTACACCACTGTACTCCAACCTGGGTGACAGAAGTGAGACTTTGTCTCCAATCAGTCAAACAATCATTACGTTAAGTAAAAGGGTTCTCTGGCTAAAACAAACTGGAAAATCCATACTTGCCCAACTTTGATAGTCTCACCATGTAAATAGAAAATTCAGGAGCATGTACCCCCAAACTATGTACTACTTACTAATCAATTACATATACTAATGCACATATGCACATTTTAAAGCAAAAACAGACTATTAAAGGTTAAGATAGGTATGGTGGCTCACACCTGTAATCCCAGCACTTTGGGAGGCTGAGGTGGGAGGATCATGAGGTCAGGAGTTCAAGACCAACCTGGCCAACAGAGTGAAACCCCATCTCTATGAAAAATACAAAAATTAACCAGGTGTGGTGGCACGCGCCTGTACTCCCAGCTACTCGGGAGGCTGAGGCAGAGGTTGCAGTGAGCCGACATCACGCCACTGCACCCCAGCCTGGGTGACAGAGTAAGACTCCCTCTCAAAAAAATTTTTTAAAAAAAGGTTAAGATAAAAACAAAGTTTATTTTGTTTTATTCCTATACCCCAATAATATTCTTTCTTGTTTCCCTGCCGCCTGCCCCCACTGGCATTTTGAGGGCACCTGGAAAATAGGCCTAGAACATACGGCCTATGGCAGATACTAGGAAGAAAAGGAAATGAGAATAAAGAAGCCAGAAATGATGGGTATTTCTAGCCTGGACCACCAAGGTGAGAGGCTTTAAGAGGGCTCGTGTGGAAGTGGGGGCTAAGAACAAACCAGGTTAAACATGCTGAATGGGGTATATAACATGTACCCAAGGATCTTTTCATTTGGAAATACCCAAGGGAAGCAATAAGAAATTCAGACTGAGGGTTCAGAAAAGAGGCCAGAGCAAGATCTGGGAATCTGCAGCACCAGGTTCAGAATTAAAATGGTGGGAGAAGATGAGATTGAAGTGGATAACAAATTGACTAAGACTTCCAGGGAAAGGAAGAAGAGAAGGGAGAAAAGGAGACTCAGAAGCAGACAGGTAAGAGGAATATCAGAAAGCCAAGAAGGGGACAGCTGCAGGGAGCGGGGAGATCCACAGGACAAAGAACACAGAAGAGCTGAGCAGGGAAGCAGCCAAGCACTCACCCGGCAACGGGGAGCTATCAGGACTGTTTCTTTTTTTTCTTATCATAATATCCCTTCTTATATGTATCAAAACTCACACTGAACAATGAGTTCTGCGTTGCAAAAGAGGATTTATTTTTTGCACCCATCCATAAGTCTTTGTCCACAAGTTAAACAAAAACATAAGTGCAGTCAGGACTGTTTGTTGAGGTAAGTTCCATTGGACAAACAAGAAGAAACTGGGTGAATACATTACGGACTATTTTTGAGAAGATGAAGGGGAAAATGAGAAGGAAGTTTCCTCTAGAATTGTATTCTAACTATGATAGGGGCTACATGAATTTGGCCTTATAAGTAAAGAAGAAAACCTTGTGACAGGGAGAGAGAGCAAGTTATTTGGTAGAGAGAATAGTTCCCCAATATGCCCACATCCCAATTCCTGTGAATATGTTATTCTAACATAGCAAAGGAGAATCAATGTTGCTAATCAGATGGGTCTTTTTTTTTGAGACAGAGTCTGGCTTTGTTGCCCAGGCTGGAGTGCAGTGGCGTAATCTCAGCTCACTGCAACCTCTGCCTCCCGGTTCAAGTGATTCTCCTCAGCCTCCTGAGTAGCTGGGACTACAGGTGCATGCCTCCACGCCCGGCTAATTTTTTGTATTTTTAATAGAGACAGGGTTTCACCGTGTTAGCCAGGATGGTCTTGATCTCCTGACCTCATGATCCACGCACCTTGGCCTCACAAAGTGCTGGGATTACAGGCGTGAGCCACCACATCCCACCCTCAGATGGTCTTTAAAATAAGGAAAGCATCCTGGATCATCCAGAGCCCAATGTAATCCCAATGGGGCATATAACAGAAGAAGGAAGCAGAAGAGTCTGTCTGAGTGATGTGATGCCAGAGAGACTTGGCTGGATGCCGCTGTCTTTGATGATGGACATAGAGGTCCAGGAGCCAAGGAATATGCGCAGCCTAGGGAGGCTGGCAGGGCAAGGAAATGGGTCCTCCCCCGAGAGCCTCCAGGAAGGTACACGACCCTACTGCCACCTTCATTTTAGCTCAGTGAAACCCAATTCAGATTTCTGAAGTAAAGAACCCTAAGATAATCAGCGTTTCAGTCTCTGGGTTTGTGGTACTTTCTTATAGCAGCAATAGGAAACGAATACAGGCCAGGAGGCAGGGAGATGATCCTAAGATCCAAGCACGTTCCAGAGGAGTTGGAAGGGTGAAGGTCAAGAACACCAGAATGCAGTTTGGGAAAGGACACCTTTTCCATGATCACTATATTTATAGCACCTCCTATATACGTGTATATGGTGGGAATACTTGTTTTGGCAATGTAAAGATGAACATGACATGACCTCTAACCACAGGGAGGGAGACCTGGTATCCAAAGTCTGAAGTCTGAGCCCTTTCCACTCCCATCATGCTGCCTCTGACCAAAGTAGTCAGGTCCACTCAAATATTTGAATGTCTTTTCACATTTCCTTACCTCCTGGCCAGTACCTACTACCATGGCATCCACACCCTCCTCACGATGTTGCCTTCCCTGGGATTGCTCCAGTTTCTAAATTCTCTTGGTATATAACAGAAATGTCAGGGTTGAAATCCCACTTCGACCAACTAGCTATGTGAGCCTGGACGAGTAGCAGCCCCACCAGTAAAATGGTAGTAATAAACTCTTCCCCAAAGACCTCTTCTTGCAGACAGGGTGGGATAGCAGGCAGTCTCCCAGGGCCCTTCCTGCAAGAAAGCTGGAGCTCAAGTCTCGTAAGTTTTTTGTTCCCTCTCCACATCTGGTACCCAGGGTCACGGTTAGTGCTCCTAACAGGGTTTATTCTGTACAGAGAAGAACTAACTATTCTCCCACCTTGTTTTCGGAACTCTTTTCAAAGCAGCTT